AATCTAGGAACAGGTATATTCATTCCTGTCCCTTACCTGGATCTTGGGTACTTTCCCATGTTTAAACTGGTTGCTTTTCTAGATACATATAAAGAAGCATGGCCTGCTTCAACCTAGGGACAACCTGGGTGTCTAGGCATTGTGCCTCCTGGCTTCCCCAGAGGAAGAAGGAGGCCAGAGAATCATGACGCCAGAGGTAGTGTTTGTCCTTCATTCTGATAGAGGACCATAACATCAGGGAAATGATGACCTGACTTGCAATTGACTTTGATTTGAGTGAGGGAGGGCTGTGCAAGGTCACCAGCCTCCACTTTCTCCTCCAAGGCTATTTGGGTCCAGTGGCCAGATATCCATCAAGACCACTAGAGATGGCCCAGGATTCAGTGGGAAACCTTGGCCCTTTTAAGCTAAGGTCTTTTCAAGTTCTCACTTTGAGTGAGGCAACACCCATTTACTGAATAGGCCTCTTTAAGAAGTGAGTCAAGGGATGACCTTTTTTAATCAAAAAAAAAATTAAAAAATTAAAAATTTAATTAAAAAAATTAAACTGGGAAGGGAAGACCTTCAGGGTTGCTGGCCAAAAGAGAAACAGTTGCTATTTACATTCACTCTAAGTCAGGAGGACCCAAAAAGTGGTACTTGGGCAGGGACCTATTGTTGTCCAATGTATGAGCTTCAGAGTAAATTGGGTTTAAGGCTTGGTCTTTGAGAGAGAGATCTAGCCAGTAAATCTCAAGTTAACTAGGCAGCTTTAGGCCATCAAAATTTACCTTCCTTTGTGCAGAACACCCTCAGGTAAGGGGAGAGGACAACAGAGGGGAGGAAAGGGAATGGGAGGAAAGAGGAGGGGAGAAGGATAAATAACTTGTGAGTAGTCCAAGCTGCCTGAATGGGGACCCAGCTGGCCGTTCCAGTTGGGTAACTTTATCCCATCCTCTCCTCTCCCCTCCTCTCCTCTCCCCTTACCTGAGGGTGTTCTGCCCAAAAGAAGGTAAATTTTGATGGCCAAAAACTGCCTAGTTAACTTGGGGTTTACTGACTAGATCTCTCTGTCAAAGACCAAGCTTAAACCAAATTCACTCTGGAGCTCATACATTGCACAATATAGGACCCTGGCCAAGCACCATTTAATGGTTATTTTTTAGGCCCTCCTGGCTTAGAGTCAATGTAAATAGTAACTGTTTCTCTTTTGGCCAGCAAGGCCTTCCCTTCTGGCTCCAGAGGCATCCAGTTAATGGAGGAGTTAGGTACCAAAAGAGAGAGAGAGACAGAGACAGAGACAGAGAGAGAGAGAGAGAGACTATTTGTCAACCTCATCTTTGCTTCTTTAATTCTATGCTCTCTATTCATGGCAAATTTATGATTCCTGTTCCAGAATGATGAGTCTCTAATGGAAGATAAACAGTAAAATAAATGTTGAAAGGGTTGTATAAGTTTTACCCCATCGACAGTGTGATGCTGGTGAAAGAGCCCTAGATTTGAAGTCTTCTATCCGATGTGAGTCTGCATTTTAGTTTTGTCACTTGTTAATTGTGTGACCCTGAACAAGCCAGTATATTTCTCTCCAACCCATTTTCTTCATGTATAAAATAAGGGTAATATTAATTATCAGTGAAGAAAGTGATTAGTAAACCTTAAAGGGATAGAGACAAGGCCCAGATCTATGAGTTCATTGGTAAAAAGAATTCTCTGAAGTAAAAACTATCTAACCATTCAGTTCATCACTTTCACTGCAACTTAGAGTTTGAGAAAGTCTCCTAGAGAACAGAGAGGTTAACTGACGTGCACAGACCCTCATAGGCATGTCAGAGGCATGGCTTGAATTCAGGTTTTCCTTGCTCTGAGGCCAACTCCTTGTCTGCCATCCTGATCTAACTTTAAATCTTAAAAGATTCCATAAATGATGTTAGTATCATTTGCAGGAAACAGGTTGATTAGAATTTTGTTTGTTTTTCTTTTCAAGTCATACAAAGTGATTATTTCACTGTGTGAATAGATGTAGTCAGTTGTTCTTTGATAGAATCCAACTACACCATAAGTTAGGAAGCTTAAGTCCTAGTCTCTCTATTGCCTCTAACCATAGGTATGAACTTGTCTCTGCTGTTGTTGTTGTTGTCATTGTTGTTTTCCTTTACAATTAAGCGGTTGAACAAGGTAATCTCTGGGGTATATTCCAGAAATGGCATCCTCTGATTTTGATGAGTGATAATGTTTCTCAGGCAATGAAAAGGACAGGATCAATGTCATTATTTCTTTATAATCAAATGTTCTGACCCTCCTTTCCACTCTTAGACCATTGTTCCCTTTTTGCAAATAGCGACTTCTCTTCCTTTTACCTCCCTCCCATAGGACCATAGATACATATCTGTAAGGAACCTTACAGATCATCTATCTAGTCCAACACTCACCTTTTACAAATGAGGAAATTAAGATTAAAGAAGGTAAGTGACTAAGGTCATTCTCCCTAATTATAAGGGTAATAAAAAAGCCATGATTTGAAACTAAGTCCTGTAACGCCAAATCTACCAATCTCGGTACAAAACCATGTCTATCCATATTTAGTCTAGTTTTGTTTCCTTCTGTGCATTTCTGTGTATCACTTGTTCATCTCCCTCACTAATTGTATGTCTCTGTTACTATACTGGTATTTCCATGTTAACAAAGGGGTCTAAGATAATAAAAAAGTGTTTTTCCCGTATTATATATATTCAAGGTGGTTTCAGGAGAGCTGATCCATCGGAGAGAAGAAGGATAAAGTCAGGGACATGTCTATAGTGTGATGAAAAGGCCAGAAACCTGTCCCAGGAATGAACAGACATGCTGAAAAACAATCATATTCTTCTTCTTTAGGCCATCAAAATTTAACTTCCTTTGGGCAGAACACCCTCAGGAAAGGGGAGAGGAGAACAGAGGGGAGGAAAGGGAATGGGAGGGAAGGAGAGGGGAGGAGGATAAACAGCCTGTGAGTAGTCCAAGCTGCCTGAATGGGGACCCAGCTAGCCAGTTCCAGTTGGGTAACTTCAGCCCATCCTCTCCTCTCCTTCCCTCTCCTCTCCCCTTACCTGAGGGTGTTCTGCCCAACCTTTGGCATTATCTTATCATTTGGAAATAATCTTTTGATCTGTCCCTGTTCATTGGATATAGCCTCAAACTTTGCATGCTAGAGATAGCTTCCTGCCTATATTATGGGCAGATCAGGTCTCACAAATATCATCCACCAATATCTGGGACTAAGTTCTTTGGTATCCATCAATCAACTCATTTATGCTTTCTGGTCCTCAAAGTAGTGATCATCACATACAAACATGTTATCTTGGATACAGAGCATTAGAAGCTAAATGTTTTTATTTTATTAACCTCTTGTCCCTCTCTACCAAAAAAAAAAATATTCAGCAGCAGTGGCAGAATAAATAAGAACAATATTGTTGGGTAAGAGAGAAGAATAAAATGGTTATAATTACATGGTAATTGAAGACTAAAAAGAAAAAAAAAAGACACAGGTGTTAGTGCCAAAAAAAGGGAGCAAAAGTAAAAGGAAGAGTGAGAATCAGAGTTCTCAGGGTCAAAGAAAGACAAAATAAATCCCTGTCTACTTTCTTCTTACAATCTCTTCCCATATTCAAAGCATAAAGACTTGGAGATTCAAGTCTATGCTCATTCAATTGGCAATAACTAAATATATTTATGGCACATGAAAATGCTGGAATGATACCAAACCATATGAAATGATGAATATGTAGAATATAGAGAAATATGAGACTTCCTTCACCCCAGTTACCTTAGTGGGTACAGAAAGAACACAAAATTCCTTTCTACCAAAAAAATTCTTTGCCATACCTCTTCCAACTAAGACTTTTCCCTCCTTAGTTAACCCTAAAGGACCAGTCCCCACAGGACAGTCAAGGAAAGAGGTATTGAAAGAGAGAAGGGCAAAAGGAGAGAGGAGGGAAGGGGAGGAAATGAGGAAAAGAGGAAGGGAGAGAAGAATAAAAGAAGGAAGAAAGGAAAGAGGAAATGAGAGAAGGGAGGAAGGGAGGGGTGAAGAAAGGAAGGAAGAAAGGAAGGATTTGTGGAAAGTTTACTATGTGCTAGCCACTGTGCTCTGTATTTAATTCTTTTGTATTTATTTTTCTATATTTCTTTTATATATATTTATATATACACTTGTTGTCTCCCCCCCCATTAAAAGTTGCCTCCTTGCAGTAAGGATTGCTTTATTATCGTGTGTGTGTGTGTGTGTTTTTATATCCTCAGTGTCTAGAATGTAATAGATACTCAATAAATACTTCTTGATTTATTGGTTTATAACAACTTATATTTCTATAGCATGTTAAGTTTAAAAAAGCATCATCCTCACAATAACCCAGACAAATAAGTGGTACAAGTTTCATCATTTTACAGATGAGGAAACTCAGGAAGAATTAGGGTAAATTATGAGTCCAAGATCATATAGCCAGCAAATATTGAGAGTGGGAGCTTGAACCTAGTTCTTTTACTCAAAAAGACTAAAGTTCTCACCATACTGTTGTCTCAAAGAGTTAGAAAAAGAGATGTACAAAAATATGTATCTTGTTTATATACTTGTGGTTGCTTTGTTTATAAATAGTATATCTTAATATATAAATTGCATCACCTCTTGTAACTTTTGTCATCTTCTTCTAATAAATCACTTATTGTACTCAGAATATTCTATTATATTGTTGTTAAATAATTACTATGAGGAAGGAGTATGAAAAACGGGCCAGGGAGAAGCTGTATCCCCAAGTATGAAACCAAGGGAGAGAGTCCCAAAACTCGGGTGCTAAACACAAAGCCAATGAAAAAGAAGCTACAGCTGTCATATTTCCACATAGCGGCATATGTTCATGACCTAAGAGAACCCAGGGTTGATAGAACCTGCTAAGGTCATAGGAGGAAGAGCTAGAAAGAATATATTCAAAGTGAATATCTTCACTCATAACCCAACAAAATCTCTTAGTCTGAACATCCTTTTCCAAAGCTTACTTTTGTGAGAACATCTTTAGCACCCGTTCCCGGATCTGCTTGGTCCTGACGCCATAGATAACTGGGTTGAGCATTGGTGGAACCACAACATACAGATTGGCCAGGAGGATGTGGATGTAACGGGGAACATTCTGGCCAAAGCGATGGGTCATGAAAGAGAAGAGGGCTGGGGTATAGAAGGCCAAGATGACACACACATGGGAGCCACAGGTACTCAGAGCTTTAAGACGGGCATCCAAGGAGGGGAGACGAAAGACAGCTTGCAGGATCTGGCCATAAGAGATAGTAATGGCTATGATGTCAAATACCAAGAGAGAAATGGCACCCAGACCATAGATAATGTTGATCCTTATGCTTGCACAAGCCAGACGGGCCAGGCCCATGTGCTCACAGTAGGTGTGGGGAATGATGTGGTGTCCACAGAAAGGCAGGCGCAGGATCAGGAATACAAAGGGAATCACTGAAAGGAAAGATCTCACTAGCACTCCAAGGCCAATTGCTACCATCACTCTGTTAGTGAGAATGATGCCATAGCGAAGTGGATTACAGATAGCCACATAGCGGTCATAGGCCATGGCCAGGAGTACAGCTGATTCCATGCCAGTAAAGTTATGAATGAAGAACATCTGTGTCAGGCAGGCCCCAAAAATGATTTCCCTCAAGCTGAACCAGAAGATACCCAACATTTTAGGGATGGTGGCTGTTGACAGGCCCAGATCAATAGTGGCCAGCATGGCCAAGAAGTAGAACATGGGCTGATGGAGACTCCTATCAGTTTGGATCACAAACAGTATGGTGATATTCCCCACCAGTGCAATCAGATACACTACGCAGAAAGGGAAGCCAATCCAGGTGTGCACAGATTCTAGGCCTGGAATGCCTAGCAGTAGGAAGGAGGAAGGATGAAACTGTGTATCATTGGATGTGGACATCCTGCCTGTAGATGAGTATGCTCATGCCCATTGCAGGTACTCAGCTGCTATGTGGGAACCCAGTAGAACACTGCTTTACTTGGTGGTCCTGCAGAGACAAATAGATTAGAGCTTTTTTTTTTTCTTTTTCATTTGCTAAATAATTCAGTCTATGAGTCAAAGAGATGTATTGGTCATCTGCCATGCACAGATCTATGTGCTGAACAAGACAGAAAAAGAAGTGGACTAAAAGGGAAATATATAATATGGGAAGGACTATTATGAATTGAAGCACTAAGACTAGATATAGCACCTAACACATTGTGAATACTTAATAAATGCTTGTTTATTATACTGCAGAATGGAGATAATTCAGAATAATGACTGTTTGAGAAAAAAAAAAACAGTCCTAGATAATCTGATCATCTCCATCATGCGCTTTATCATCCCCTGAGTCAATTCAGTTTTATCCAATTCACATCTAAATTAAGTACCTACTATAATATAAAGTAAATAAATAAACAGATAAACAAATGCATAAATGAATGATTGGGTGGGTGAATCACTAAATGTAATATAGAACTTTCTCTGAGGGAGCTTACTATCTAAATGTGAAAGAACTACAAATACACATAATTATGAAAAAATGACTGCAATATAAAAGTTTTTGAAAGGTCTATGTGAAGCGCTGTAAAAATTCTACAGTTTCACATGGGGAAATCAAGGAAGGATTGTGAAGGTAAAATATGAATTGGGTCTTGAAGAAAGGAGCATATAGAAATGGAAATTGAATTGGAGAGGTCATTTCAAGCTTCATGTCAAAACACCGTATCATTCTCCACACCTACTGTGAGCACATGGGCCTGGCCTGTCGGGCTTGTGCAAAAGAATGAACAAAGGTAAGGAAAGAAAAAGACAAGATAAGAAAAAGGAATAGAGAGCAATTCAATTGTCCTGTAACATAGCGTAAGTTAAGTAGTATAAATTTGGAAAATTAAACTCTGCCTGGTTGTTCTCCACATGCTCATCCTCATTATTCTAATCATATTAGCCTCATCCTTTTCTTCCACAAGAGAGGTAAGGAATAATGTCATTCAAATTCTCTTTCTTACACTATGCTGCAATGGACAAATTAATTACTATCTCTACCTCTCAATATCCTCTTCTTAAAAAAGGATTAAAAAAACTGTAGTTTGTGCCTCATAGAGATATTGCAGTAATATGCTGATAAATATTTTAACAACTAACTCTGAAAATGCATGAAACACTTTTAAATATAATTTATGTTATTAACATTTTCTCCATCACTTTCTTAATCCCATACAATCAAAAAATAGTAAATTAAGTATTTATTTATAGCACTTATTGATTTCCTAAGTTTAAGTTCTCATACTGGAAAGTTAATATTCTGCTCTCTCAAACTGTTAAGAATTGGCTGATGTACAACCCTGCTGTTGTGAGTTTCAAATTATATAATGTATGGTTAAAGAAGGATGATAACAAGGAGATTGGTTTAAAAAAATCAAGTTGATAATGGAATTATTTTAGAATGGTCTAGGAAAAGACAGGTCACTTCCTCAAAAGAAATTAAGCTAATTAAAAGAAGCATGATGCCAAGACCAAGAGAGCCAATAATCCCTCTCTTCTTTTCCCTGACTGTGTCATATGTAACTGGGACATTTCGTTGAATTCCGGGTGGTAGACTTTAGGATACTGATAATCTGGAGCATATATACGGCAATGACAGCAGGACAGAGAAAAGCCTGGGGAACAAGACAAATCAGAATTAGCTAAGGAATGTGGATGTTAATCATAGAGAAGAGAAGGCTCCAGGAAAACAGGTTAGTTTTTTGGAGATTGCCAAGCAGAAGAAAGATTACATGTGTTTTTCTTGGATGAATCAAGTGGTCAATAATTGTTTAATAAGCCCTTTCTATCTGTCAGGCACTATGTTGAATGCTAAAGATATAAGATAAAAAAAATCAGGTAAAAATCCTTAACTCCCATGATTTTTTTATTCTACTAAGATGATGCAACATAGTCATAGATGAGGCTTATTGAATTGAGAAAATTCCCATGAATGAGGTAGCATTGAGTTGAGTTTTGAAGGTCATGAGGAGGTCGAAGAGACTAAAGGAGAGGATTCCATGAAGGAGGCACAACCTTTAGAAAGGTACAGATGTGAGAGGTAGATGTCATGCATAGGGCTTAGTAAATAGATCAATTTGTCTGGAATGTTGAGAATATGGGAAGAAGTAAGATGCAATCAGCCAGGCTTGAGCCAGATTGTGAAGAACCTAAATGTCAAATAAAAGATTTATACTTTATCTTAAAGGCAAGAGGGAATCGCTGAAGCTACTTGAGCAAAGGGTTGGCCTGGTCATGCCTGTGCTTTAAAAATAACAAATTGACTGACGGTTGTGTGGCAGGATATTTTTGCAATAGTCTAGGTGAGATCAGATAAGAGTCTAGTCTGGGATAATTAGTGTGCATAGAGAGATGTTGAATGTGAAAGATGTTGAGAAGGTAGAATTGACCAAAGTTAGCATGTAAGTGTATATGCGGGGGGTGAGATAGAGAAGAATCTTAGATAATTCCTAGTTTGCCACTATAGGTAAATAGAAAAATGGTGATGCCATTGACAGAAATAGAAAAGGTAGGATGAGGAGTAGGCACAAGGGGAAACATGATTACTTTGGTTTGAGATATACTGTGTATGATAGGCTTATTGGACATTTAGATAAAGATTTCAAGCAGGCAATAGATGCTGGGTTGTAGCATGAGAAAAAAGATGAGAGTTGGATAAGTAGATTTGAGATTCAACTGCAGAGAGATTGTGGTTGAATCTGTAGGAATTGATGACATCATTGAGACAGAATATGTAGAATGGAGGAAAGTGACCAGTACAGAGACATGGGGTACAACCACATGTAGAAAGCAGTGAATTTTGAACCTGAAAAGGAGTTGCAAAAATCAGTTGGACCAGTACAAAGAGAACCAAGAAAGAACAGGGGTGAAGATGAAACTCCCAAGGAAAACCTTGGAAGAATTTAGCTACATTTTGCCTAGATCTACCCCTGATCTTGTTCTAGTGTATCATTTAATTTTTTTCACTCTACTGGGTTCAAACAGTAGCTTGCACTTCTCCAGTCTTGGATTTTTGCCAATATCAACTTGCTGCTGGTGTGTTGACCAGAGTTTCTGGGAGTTGACACTCCTACATATGCCATTTCTTCTTCCAGTCAGGCAGTAAAAGTACATCCAATCAAGAGGCCATATAATATAACTGATGAATTTCAGTGAAGAAGATGCCTCAAGAATTTTCTTTCATTATAAAAACATGTTTTTTCTTTATTTCATAGCAATTTATTTTTCCATTACAAGATTCATATTCTAGTTCTAGAATTTTGGGATGCAATGAGCCAGTTCTTGATCTCCCTCTCATACATGACTAAAACATTGTTCTCTGTGTAACACTCTACAAGGTAAATCTACTCTCCTAAGGACAAAATGTATGCAAACTTCAGCAAGGGAGTAGTACACAAAGAATCACCAACCAGTGAGAAATAATGAACTGAATATCAAGTGGTATGAGGCCAGGATTTCTGAAAATTTTGATTTGAGCCCATTCAGTGTCAAGAACTAGAACTAATACTGAGAAACTATCCCAGAAGAGATAGTCAGAGAAATGTTGAGCTCTTTCTTGGTTCTTTACATTGTGACTGAGTCTAAAAGCACAAATAAGCTGGGTTTAAAATATGCTGAATTAGATACCACAACAGTTGTTCATCTGGCCACTTGTGTATGGAAGCTCTTCCTGAGATTCTTTCTTATTTTGGTGAACTTGACATAGACACTTCCTGGTGTCCTCCATGCTACTGCCAGATTTGGGATCCATCAGTTCTCCTCTTTCCTTCATTTTCGGATCCCCCTGGTCATTATTCACTGTAGCATCACCAGAAGCATCCTCTTGCATCTTTCTCAGGTGCAGGCAGTGAATATTCCTACATACCTATACACATATATGTGTGTAGGTATGTACATGTATATAAAGACATGCACATATACATATGTGCACACATGCATGTACATACATATACACAACAGCATAAGATTAGGCTTCTCATTATCTCTTTTATTATTTCATCTGTCATTCATTATGCCTACCAACAAATTTAATCACAGAATCAAGCCTAGAAGGCTAATGAGAGGTAACTTAGTCTAATTCCACACCAGAGCAAAATCCCTTTATTACTATATTGGTCCCCAAGCTTCAATATGAAGACCTCCATTAATATAGAACTTAATGAGGTAGCTCATTTTATTTTTGAACAACTCCAATTGTTAAGTAGTCAATTTAAATAATTTCCACTTCCACATTTTTGCTCATTGTAATTTCTTTATCTGACAATGCTTTCGCTTTCTCTTTAACTACCCAGGAATTCCCATATTGCAAGTCCTAGAACAAGTCACATCATTTCATGAAGCATTTCCAGACCACTCTAGTTCATAATACTATCCTTACCCTCAGAAAAATTATGACTGTAATAAATGAAATTACATTGAACTTTCTGAAGAAAGACTTATGAAGAAGACAAAGGAGAAGATGACGAAGAAGAATAAGAAGAAAAAGGAGTAGGAGGAGAAAGAGAAAGAAAGGAAGGAAAAAAGGGAGAGGGGGAGAGAAAGGAAGGAAGGAAGGAAGAAAAAAGAAAGGAAGGAAGGAAGAAATATAGAGGAAGATGAAGAAGGATGAGGATCAAAAGCAAAAGAGAAGGGGGAAAAAAGATTCTGCCTCTCACTTCCATGATTTTGCACAAGCTCTTTCCTGAAACAAGAATGAATTCCTTTTTTTCACCTCTTAGAGTCTGTAGCCTCATTTATAGTTTACCTTACTGTCAACTCCTATGGCAAAAGCATCTGATACATCTAATTCTTAGTGTCCTTATCTGAAGATATATTATTTATTTATCTATTTAAATGTTGTACAACTGCCCAACAGAAATTAAGGTCCCAGAGGACAGGAATTATTCACTTATTTTCTTTGTGCTTCCATGACCTATCATAGACTTTTTCCTAGGTAAGCACTTAAGAAATGATTCTTAGATGAATGAACAAGATACCTGGTCTGCGTGCTGTTGTACAAATTTGTTGTATAAGTTTGTTGTACAAGCCCTTTTTGAATCTCAATTCTCCCACCTATTAAATGGACATTATAATTCTTGAACTTCTTTACTAACTTATAGGGTGGTCAGAAGGACCAAATGAGATAATTATTGTGAAAGTGATTTGAAAACATTGAGAAGATAATCGTTATGCCCTTATAAAATAACCTGCATGAGAAAGAAACCGGGAAGAAGAGAAGCAACAAAAGAAATACATAAATGCTATGGAAAAAAAAACAAAATGAAAAATTAAATTGGGAAACTTAGGCATGCAGAAACAAAAGTATAAATATCTGGAGGAAATAGACTAGTTCATGTAGAAATAAAGAGTTACAGGTCAGACAAAGTTGAGTGAATAAACATAGAAGAGGGGAGTATTCTTATATAAAGAAAGTATTGAGTGCTCTTGCTGCTTCTCTATAAATTCCAGGTAAATATCTTTATAGTTTTCCAAACAGAATGTTTGTTTCCTTCTCTGAGTCCTTCAAAACTCTTTGTTTACCCTCTCATATTCACTCCATTATTTATTTTTATAAATACAATGCACCCTAAGTAGATTATAGGACCCTTGAGGATAGTACCTTCCTACATTTTCTATTTTTTATTCACACAACCTAACACAATGCCCTATACATTTTAGGTATTGAATAAATCTTTAGATAGTTGGATTGAACTGAATTCTATGATTTTTTTTAAAAGGAGCACATTTTGACCATATAGACAACATTGTATATTCATGTAAGGTAAAGCAGGGACCAAGAAAATAGATCTAGTCACAGAATCAATACAGCTAAAACAAATGATAGGCTTCTGAGAACATTGAAGGTTATATTCTGGAAACCAGAGTATAAGGGAACATCATTGTAGGTCTTCTTACACCGTGGAATAAAAGAAGCAGTAGATGCTTACCTTATCCTGGAAATTTCTTTTCTATTGAAGACATAAATAATGAATTTTTATTCTATGACTCTTTAAATAATGTTGAACAAGTCTGTGTACATCATTTCAAACTGAGAAAAACAAGATTTTTCAAGTGAAACCTTTCCAGGCCTTGGCTAACTTGTTCCTCTAGCTCGCTCAGCTTTTAATTGTCTGGTCCCTCTCTGAGCCTGGAGAAATTTCTGGGGGCCCAAAGCCCTGCACAGGATCTAGAGACTGACTTATCAATCTTGGTAGCAGAGGTGTTCCCGTGTCTATCTTAGCTATAGGCTGCTCCCCAGCCTATGTGGTCTCAACAAAGGAGACTTTATTCTAAAGGCATACCCTTCTATGGGTAACCTCCTCCAGAGGCCTCTCCAAAACTGACATTTCTGAAGAGAAACCTTGGCCCTGAGGTCCAGAGCAAACATTGCTCTACGTTAATCCCTTGATTACTGAAGCAGATTTTCAGCCACTAGGGAGTGATTAGACAGGTTTAGGTATAGGAGATTCCAAGTTGCCTATGGAAGAGGTAGCTATTGACACTGTGGTTGAGCCTGAATAAGCTAGGCTGCAGAAAATGAGCCTGTATTAGATAGGTATCCAAGTTCATCATCAAAAGTTTAATGGTGTGGGAAACAGTGGGCAGGAAACAGGAACATAGTTTAGGCAGAAAGAGGCTGGACCATCAGAAGGGAAGGAGCAGCTTTCTTTGTTTTTCAGTGGATTAATACAAATGGGTAGAATGACTCCAAAACTTAAGGGATATATTTATTGTCCAAGGTTTCTGTGTTTCAGGTACAAAAATTAATTAAGATCTAAACCTCGGTTTACTTAATATACTCTTTGTCCCATAGAAAGACACCTTTCATGATGCCTCCTCTAACTTTGACAAAGTCTCCTTCCCTCTCCAGGTGCAAACCTCTATGTTCCTGTTCCCCAGCCTCTTCCTATATCGTTGT